GACTGTTCTGCTCCAACTGGGCTAATGAAGACGAGCATACGACATACAGTGTGCTATGAGGGAACTTTTGCGCGGGCAGCGGCACTATTTTCTACTATTATATTGTATTCCAACTGCCAATGTACAAATGGAACCTTGGTTTTTCGTCCCATACGAACGACTAGACAGCTGTCATTGTCAGGCCATCTGTCCTGCACCACTGACAAGGGGGAGCCACGTTGGAAAATCTTGATGAACTTTCTCGACCAATGCAGGGATCGAACACGCGACCTCCAAGCTAGCGAGCCAGCGTCTTACCAACTTAGCCACTGTAGCCCCAGTACCCCTTTCAAACCACAATGTTGTGAAAGTTAAGCCTCAAATAGGAATATCAGTCAAATTTGGTTCAATTCTATTGATCTATGCTGCTTCCAAATAATACATTTTTATTGATGTGGTCGCTAAGTCGGTAAGACGCTGGCTCGCTAGCCTGGAGGTCACGTGTTCGATTCCGGCATTTGTCGAGGAGGGCCTGACAAGGACAGCTGTCTAGTCGTTCGGAGAGGACGAAAAAATTTTCATGTGAACGTATATTGTCGTCGCCCCTGTCCGTCCGTCCGTCGGTCCGTCCGTCCACAATTTGTTTGTGGACACTCTACAGGTCACAATTCTTATCCGATTTTGACGAAACGTGAAATATAGGTTTATCTCCAAAAGATCTCAGTTCCTTTCGATATTGGCATGTATCGGATCGAAACTTCATGGATTATGGCCCCTGTTTGTACGAAACATCACGTTTTTAGCTTGAGGACACTATAGAGGTCACAATTTTTATCCGATTGTGTTGAAACTTGAAATGTCCGTCCGTCCACAATTTGTTTGTGGACACTCAACAGGTCACAATTCTTATCCGATTTTGACGAAACGTGAAATATAGGTTTATCTCGGTTCCTTTCGATATTGGCATGTATCGGATCGACGCTTCATGGATTATGGCCCCTGTTTGTACGAAACATCACGTTTTTAGCTTGAGGACACTATAGAGGTCACAATTTTTATCCGATTTTGTTGAAACTTGAAATGTAAGTTGATAATCCAAAGATCTCGGTTCCTTTCGATATTCGCGCATATCGGACCGTAACTTCCTGAATTATGCCCCCTGATTGTACGAAAAATTGCGTTTTTTGCTTGTGGACCCTATAGAGGTCATAATTTTCATCCGATTTAAACAAACGTATTATTATATCATCGTTACACACTAAGGACTGAGTTCAAATGTCGTGAAAATCAGCCCAAAATCGACAGACAAAATGGGCGCCGTTCGTTCTCAAATAGCGTAAAAATATGGTATATCAAGGTTGTGGACCCTATAGAGGTCACAATTTTTATCCGATTTTGTTGAAACTTGAAATGTAAGTTTATAACCCAAAGATCGTGGTTCTTTTCGATATCCGCGCATATCGGACCGTAACTTCCTGAATTATGGCCCCTGATTGTACGAAAAATCGCGATTTATAACCCAAAGATCTCGGTTCCTTTTGATATTCGCGCATATCGAATTGTAATTTCCTGAATTATGGCCCGTGATTGTAGGAAAAATCACTTTCTTGTTAGCTTGTTCTCTATCCATCTCTCGAAAATGTGGGCGTAATCAGCGACATAAAAAATCACCTATGTTGTAGCATAGCCTACACCAGACTTTAGACATTTAAAATCAGCGTTCCAGTAATAAACAGTGGTTATATAGACCTACTCTTGATTATTCACTTTTCTTTAAGTATGACACACTTTTTTATGCATTATCATTATTTGTTTTCCCTCACAGGTTTAATTGCTGTTGAAAAACCAGATAAATAATGCTATTTATTGGACCACAGCCTGGAATAGTAAGGAGAATGTGTTTGTGAACTGCACAAGAGTTTGTTTTTTTGTGGCTAAGCGGGTAAGACGCTGGCTCACTAGCCTAGAGATAGTGGGTTCGCTCACTCTGTTGGCCGACAAAGTTCATCAGGATTTCCCGACGTGGTTTCCCCTTGTGCATTACAGAACGAAACACCCAGGTCCCGTGTACACATTGACATGCAAGTAAAAGATCCCCGGGCAATTGGAATTCAATACAAGAGTATGCCTTAGCGCCGCTGTCCGGGCAAACTTTCCCTCGTAGCACACTGTATGATGTATGCCTGTCTTAATTAGCCTAGTCGGAGCAGAACAGTAGGACATTAAACCCTATTTCATTTCATTTTATGCACCCACCCTCAACCAATCATCGGAACCATACACAAAAAGATAAAATTTAATTTACCTAACTGCAGTAGGCTAGTTCAGTTATGGATTAGCTTGTTTAAATGCAAGTTTCTTGTACGGGTTGGTCAGCACGTAAAGGAACACTTGCTGTCCAGACAAAATTTCTGTCATAGCACACTGCATATGCACATCTTCCAATGGAAGCTACAGTTGACAGATCTTTTTCAAATTTGGTATAAAGCATTGTTGTCAGGAGAACAAACCTACATTCTGCAAACTTCTGTTTTGGATTCAACCACCTTTTCTGAAGGAGCTGCAGTGATTCAGTGAGTAGAAAGAGAGAGAGAGAGAGAGAGAGATGGCGTTTAACATTCACTTGACATAAACTAGCTTAGATCATTTCGGGACTGACACATGGTTCAATAATTATCTGCGCGTAGGGGTCTTAAGCAGTGGGAGGACACCCACGAGGATGGACAGGCGACGTATTGTTTTGGTGAATGCCCAACCCCCTTGACCACACCCATATTTTCTTTGTGTGTCTATGCCTACAGGCCGCAATTCTTAATAGTTGCCTAAGGATGGCTACTATTGATTTTGGTGCATGTCCCAATCCCGAGGGGCAGAGCCACGCTCAATTTTTGTTTTTATCGTATATAGGCCGCAATTGTGAATGGATCATCTTGGTGTTGGTGCAATTCAAGACCCACAGGGGCAGAGCTACGCCCAATTTCTGTGTACAGTGCCTGAAGGCCACAATTCTGAATGTATTGTCTTGGAACTTGGTATACTTATTCTTTATACCTTAAGGATGGGAACTATTGATTTTGGAGCATGATCCGAGAGTGCCACATCCACTTTTTGTTAATTTTTTGTCTGTAAATAGTCTACAGGTTGCAGTTATTAACCGATTTTGTTCCGTTTTGGCATGACCCACCAAAGGGTTGTACCTATTCATATTGGTCCATATCTGACCTCCAATTGCACACACAATTTTTGTGTCCTTTGTCTACAGACTACAATTCTGAATGGATCATCTTGGAACTTGGCTTATTTATTCCTTATACCATACGAATAGCAACTATCTATTTTGGTGCATGGCCTGAAACTCACTTTTTTGTCTGGTAATACTCTACTGGTTGGAATTATTAACAGATTTTGTTCAAGTTGCCTACAAGAATGCTTAAAATTTTGAATTTGGGTAACTTAACAGTATTTATTGGATTAATCCTGACATGTTTGAAAACTATTTTTACATTTTGGTTAGATGACTAACAATCAAAACCTAGCAATAATTTAATTGTCAGTACCCTGATATTAAACTGACATTTGTTTTACGTTAGAAAATTAACGGGGGGATCACGCTGGCTCGCTAAAATTTACGTTAGATTAACGTTAGTATTATGGCCAATAATACATATGTCATTATTGTGTCTGAATTACGACTTTTTATCAATTGTTAGAATATGCACACACTGGTAGGGTTATTTAATCCAGAAGTTTTCAAAGCGAAAAAACTTGGTTAGAAAACCGTCATAAATATACGTTAGATTTACGTCATTTTCTGACGTAAAAGTAACCATAACCATTCTGACGTAAAAGTAACGTAATTTTAACCGTAAAAGTTTACCATTATTGGACGCTAACCAAAATCTAACCAAATTGACGTAAACTTAACGTAAATCTAACCATCAATGTTAACTAGCTGCATGGTTGCTGGTTTATCCTAAACATGTTTGCTTTCCTATCGGTTCTTGCATAAGATTTACTGTTTAGCATATATTTATATTAGTGTATTACGTTTAATTTGATCCGGAGACGCGTTCGTCAACGTCAACCGACAACACTGCCGTGGCATTGAAAGAGGAGTGAGTCAGATTGCCTCAAATCGTATTTGGACGGTTGATTAGGAGCTTGCGACGACTAATTGCTGATATGTCTGAGGATTGGTGGAGCAATTACTCATTATTAAGACAAAAATCAAAAACGTCCATTTTCACTTTTGACAGTGTATCACTTTGCGAGTGAAATGGGGCCGTCATAATAAGCCGCTCATATGAACTGTTTATGATCATATGTAGACAATTGGCCTGTTATTAACATACACTGGTTACCTCTAATAAACACAGCAGTGCATTTCCGCAGTTTTGTATTGTTTCTGAATATCCCCTACTTTTTGTGAAGAGTATAGTTAAAAACTAGATACTGTAAAGGGAATTTGCTGAAAATTTCAGTCAAATTAATCTACTATGAACCGGGATTTTAGCGGTTGAATTTTCGGCCTGGCCTCGATCATCATTACTAAACTCGGTAGGATAAAAAAAAAACATAGTCTCGATTATCCATTTCATGATTTAATTATGAATGGAAGTCGAACAGAAAATCGGAACCTAATGCAATAAACGTCGCAGGCTAGCGATGCCATCGAGAGTTGATTATGGTCTGGATAAGTTAATTAATGTCTAATTAGTAATTTAGATAACATTTCAAGCCTAAAAGACCTGCATTAGGCAGATTTAGCTCTTGCATAATGTATGTTTAAATTTATATATAGAATAATTCACTTAAAGAGTTACTGCCCTTGTTTATGTATGGACTGATTTCAGCGTGCCAGAGATATTGCACGTTTACCTTAGGATTCACAATACGACACATAAAATTTCCGGACGACTTAGCTGATGTATGTTTTGTTGCCTGATACCCTATCTTATATATATATGTAACCTTCTATTTACCATCTTTACGTTTTTTGAGGTTTTTTTGGTACTTTCCAGGTATAGAATGAAACAAAGAAAAAGAAAGGGTCAAACCAAACTATTTAAAACTGAAGTTAACATCGATGTTGAGAGAATAATTATAGTGCATTAGAAAAACGCAAACAAAATGCCACGTGTAATTGGAAAACTTCCTGATGACCAATATTACAGGATAGTGGATAATTCTACTGATCTTATAGAGGACATTAAACATGACCCTGTTGGTCTTGCTCGTTCATTGTTTCAAAAGCGTGTCTTCGATGAGGATGATCTAAAAACAATAAAGAAAGAAGGCAGTAAAACCGATGCTGCTGATGAATTGTTGCATATTGTTCTAAACTCTGGTGACGCAGCTTATGAAAAATTTATTGATGCACTGAAAGAAAATGGCTATTCCAAAACTGCTAGACGATTAATATTAGGTTAGTTCTGATTGTATTGTTATAAAATTGATTTTTTAAAAATTAAATGTCAATTCACAACCAAAAATGTTCAGAATAAAACCGTATTAGTATATTTAATTACAGTTAAAGTTTAATTTGTCATCTACAATAAATTTAATATCACGACTTGTTGCTATTGTTATATAAATTTGATCATAGATGAAATACGACGAAATAGTAATAACATTATTGCGACACCGATCACCGTGACAGTGATCAGTGTACAGGTAAAAAAATATTTACGTTCAATTACAGACAAAGAATTGAAAGAAGTCCATGAACCAAAGGATGGGAATCCCGAGGATAGATTCGGACAGAGAGGGGTGGTTACAGAAAAGCTACATATCAAAGTGGAAAAAGGGAAACCACCCGAGGATATGTACAGCAAGATCCGAGGCAATTATGATTTCCTCGCGGACGAAATTAAAAACGATTATAGGGATGTAATGTGTAGTTTGTTTACTTTTAAAGCCATCAGTGAGGATGATGTGGAACAAATAAAGAGAGAAGAGATGACTCAAGGTAGTAAAATAGCAGCCACCAGGGAAATGTTAGATATTCTTTTAAACCGTGGTGAAACGGGTTATACAAAATTTCTTGACGCACTTTATACAAACAAATGTTTTAATGCTGTGTTCAGATTGGAACCAGGTTAGTTATGATTAATTAAAATTAGTTACGATTCTACGAGTTTAAATCAGTCAGAGTATGTAATAACAATATTTAATAATAATTAGTGGTACATGTACAATATATTTATTTAAAATACAGATATGACGTCATCATTTAATGTTGGCGTATAATGGTGCCAAGCGTACATTATTTATACTAGTGGTCTCGAGCTCAAGACATTGCCTAATACATTGAAACAACAACTCGTGACTAATGTCACCCGCGTTGTTTCAACATGTCTTGCTCTTGACCACTAACCACTAACCACACATAGCAAATCCCAACGCGAATCAGATTGGGACACGGTAAGCAAAATTGACAATATTTTTCATCAAAACAACGATTGATTATTGTTTTTTAAAATATTTCTGCCACATCCAACTATAATAAAAGCACATAATCCTACCTGAAACGGGTATAAATCATCGTATATAAAATCGAGGCGTTAAGCCGTTACTAGGCGCCATTTTTAAACGGGAGACGTATGACGCTATGAGATGTATGAAGGCGGAGCTAAATATAAGGCTTTTATAACAGCCAATCAAAAAAGGCAATCGCAAGTGGAGAAAACGTAAACAAACAAAATGAAACCCTCGTGTTCTAATCTATCCGCGAATCATTTCAGAAAATAAAATGAAGAAATTATTTTGGACCTGATAATAAATTTCTAGAAGGATGTTTTTGCTTTATGGTAAAAGGGGCGTGTAGGGTTTGCGCATGTCTAAAGCATCGTAACTATGAATGGACTTCGATGGCGGTGTACGTCGGATAAAAACAACGCTTCATTAATTTAAACGCAATCTGATTAAAATACAGATCTATATTTCGTTTCGTTTTATACGTTCGATGGCCTACACTACATGAAGATCTGACAAGTTATAGCGATAGGTCACGTCAGGGGTCAAAAGACCGACTTTTGACCTATGACGTCAGACATTTGATTAACCAATCAGCATTGATGTTACTAGTTGATTACCCACAGTTCCGGGCAAAAAGGTCAAACACTCGATTCGACAGACCATTTGATTGGCTGACCCCTGATTTCAAGCAGAACACGAGTTAAATAACAAGTCTTCCAGATCCAAGTGTAGTAAAGACAATTAAAACGAAATTTTGAACTATAAAAACGAAACGAAATAGGATCTGTGTTTTAACCAGATTGATTTAAACGTGAATATTTGGAGTTAGGCGATAGTTGTGCCTCTACATTGGCCTCTGTAAGTTTAATTCGTCATAATAGTATAAAATTATCTTATTTTTAAGATGTTACATGCATTAATAAAGAAATTGAGTTTGCCACTTGGAACTAAAGGCACCCAATTGTAGCTAAAAACAATATATCTCAACGTTTTTAGCTAGAAAACAAAACACCTGTATGAATGTCGTAAAGGGAGCATTCCCACGAAAGTATTTATCGGGTGGTTATTTCCAATAAATGTATGACAAATCTGGTATGGAAACGCCCAATGTTACTAGAAAAATACTTGATTCCACGAAAATGTCCATGGGACGCACATGTGCTCGAGTGACGGTGTTGAGTGCTTGTTATGTGCTGATCGAGGTTTTCTTTCAATAAACAATGTAATATATTCTACTCTCAGGTTTTGGCGGAGATGGATCAGCCGAACCAGGTATGGCTACAGATAAATTATTGACAGGGTCGCTGGTATGTATTGATTGGTATATTTTTATCACCGGCCATCATCCATTATATACCAAAACCTGGACGGTTAAACATCATATAAATCATACCAAATACATGTATCCATCAATTCTGTTGATTACAATTACATAGGTTTATATTTTACTTGATATAGATGTGCTCTTTCGTCCGTCAATGTAAAAGTTTATCGTTATTATAACTATTTTATATTAATAGGACAGCTTTCTTAGATCAACCCCTCTTCGGTTTATGGATCACTTGAAAGATCATATAGATTTATTTGGTAAGTAAATTAAATGTCGGTGTTATTTAGCATGGCCAGAAAAGTGGCTTCTACGGATTTTGTGATGCATTTGTTCCTGCCTCACACAACATTTGAACTACATGTTTTACCCGATGGTCAGAATCTATTTACCTTTGTATACGTCATATTGCGGATGTCCGTCACCCCTGGGATGGGGGTGGGGCTTAGGGTATTGTGTGTAACGGATTGTATTTAAACATAGTATATTTACTCCTTAAACCCAAAGGATGATCCCTATTGTTTTATGTGCATGACCGATCCCCAGGGACAGAGCCACGCCCATTTTTCTATTTGTCTGTTTGTCACCTACAGGATGCATTTCATAAGGATCGTCTTGAAACTTTGCATACGTATTCCTTATACCCTTTTGGTTTTGGTGCATGCCCAACTCCCAGGGACAGCGCCACTCACACATTCTCTTTTGCGTGTCTGTGTGTCACCTACAGGACTCAATTCTTAATAGATCATCTTAAAAACTTTTCATTCTTATGCCTTAAACCCCAAGGATCGCCTCTAGTATTTGTGGTGCCTACACAATCCCCAGTTAAAGAGCCACGTCCAATTTTTGTGTTTAGCGCCAAACGGACACATTTCCGAATAGATTATCTTGGAACTTGGTATACTTATTTCTTATACCCTAAGAATGGCAACTATTGATTTTTGTGCCACACCCGCGTTTTGTTAATATTTTGTCTGTAAATAATCTAAAGGTTGCAATTTTTGTGTTTAGCACCTAAAGGCTACAATTCTGAATGGATTATCTTGGAACTTTGTATATTTATTCCTTATACCCTAAGGACGGCAACGGTTGATTTTGGGTAAGGATTCGAGCCGATCGGACGGCGCGACACCCATTTTTTGTTAATGTTTTGTCTGTAAATAATCTACAGGTTGCAATTATTAACAGAATTTGGTCCAATTAGTCATGATCCATCATAATGTTGTACCTATTTATATTGGTCCTTGTCCAACCCCCAGGGCTAGAACCACGCCCATTGTAATTCTGAATGGATCATCTTGGATCATTTATTCCTAATACCGTAAGGATAGCAACTATCCCAACCAATTTCTTTATTAATATTTAATCTGTAAATTTTGCAAAACAAACCCAACGTCTAGCCTACTTATCCTCTTGCCATATTATAGTCGTTGCAGCCATATCAATCAAAGCAAGAATGTGTTGCAATATCCCAAAATTCCATCATTCAATACTCAACAAAGTGACAAAATACAAATTAAATTACTTGTAAAAAATGACCAGTATGTACTGATTTTGACAAAGGGGCATTGTTTAGTATTAGAGAAAGATATTTTATGTTGCAGTTGTGTTAAAATAGTACTCCTCGTAGAAACTCGTAAAATAAATCTTAAATTTCTGTAGAGTGTATCCCTAAATGTTTAGTGAAAGCTGGATATTCCCCCTCCCCAACATACGCATGAGTCAATGATGCAAATGGAGTTTTTCCCTTAGACATCCTTGTCAAATTCATTAAAAACTGCACCATGAATAACCAAACAAGCTAACACTGTCTTTGATATATATACGTGTAAAAAGTGAATGTTTAATATTTACATCTATTTCAGGTAAAAGGAGTGTGGATAGTCCACGATTGAGAGCAATGAAAGGTAGGGTTTACTTGTAGAAAGTACACAAATTAAAAAAAAAACATTTTTCTAATGCCAATATATATGTTCAGACAAGTTAAAGTATATTCCATAAAACTAATGACCCAATGATCTTTTAAAAGTAAAATTGTTATAACCAGAAAGAGCCGAAGTTGTCAAGCGGTTGCCATGCACGATACACCAATAATTTGTAAGACATGGACGGGGAACAGAGTCCATAACCCATGTAGGTACGGTTCGATGCTGAAGATGTGTGCTGCTGTTGGTGGTGACGATGCGTTTGGTGGAGTAGAGATTACCGGTGTTGATGGTGGGTTTGTTGCGAATCACGATGGTGAATTACTCATCATAGACGACGAGATACCAACGGATTATTTTCTTTTGTGTGTTTGGCACTAATGTGCCTTCGCAGGTTTCCAAGACGACGAAGTTAAAATAAGAAAAACAAGTTTTTGTTTTTTTTCATTATTGATCACAACAAATCCATTGTGGACACTTTAGAGAAAATTAATAATAAACTTTATGCTAAATCTAGGGACACGTTTGGCTTTTCTACTTCATATACTATGCTTTAACAAACAGATCTAAAGCTAAACTATACCTTACAAAATTTTGATGACATAACATCTATCAATGATAACAGAACTGTTAATATTCAATAAAGAAAATCGTGGCACAATAGCTGCACCTGTTCTTGATTTGGATATTAAGATAAATAAGAAGAAATTTAATGGCAGTATTTACGACAAAACGGACAAATCTGGCTTTGAAGTTGTAAAATACCCGTCAGTCTATAGTAACATATCAGATGTTACACTATATAATGTTTTCTATTCACAGGAATTATAACAATATGTAACGATAAAGAACTATTTATTTTCTAGAATAAGATCTATTTATGTTAAATTGCATATTCTAAAAGAAATTTCGGAACTTCCATTTCTTCAACATACCAAGTTTGACATTTCTTGCAAGTATATACTTTGAGCAATGATACAATTGAATAATACCTATCTTTTCCTTAATTGTTAACCTTTAACGATTTCCTAATTGGTAAAGGTATTTTCCTTAAATGTGACAACATTTATATTTTATGTAGCATATAGCAGATCATGACTCACACTGGTATTATACAACGTTTGGGAAATATTCTCTTATTGTTAGTTCGTTTATCATTTTGAGTGAAGTCTGTATCACTACAGGCCCTGGACTGTACAGTGCAGTTGACGCTACAGGCCCTGGACTGTACAGTGCAGTAGACGCTTACGGCTAGCCCCGTATATTGAGTCTTGTGTCCGTAGTTTATCTTGTGTAATTTATTGTGTGTGGTGCAGCACCCCTGCCCTTACAGATTTTTTTTTCAAATGTGATTAAAGCATGAGAAAACGATAATCAGCATTCACGCCCCCCCCCCCTTTATAAGGGCACTGTATTTGACATCTTTTTCACATTTATAAATCATCATTTCAATAACTTAAAATGTTTCTCTTCAGACAGAGCACTTACCAACCTTCAAGATGTTAATGAAAAAGAATATGTAAAGACTCGTGCTCTTGGTGAAGGTTTGAAGATACTGAAGAGTCATCACATCCTAGGAATAATGGGAGCTGCTGGAGATGGTAAAACGACGCTATCAATGATGATAGCCAATCAATTCATTGAAGAATATTCAGAATATAAACCATTGTTGATTAATGACCTTGATGATTTAAAGGAAGTGAACTTTGAAGATGATAAGTATCTTTATATCATCGATGACATGTATGGTAAATTTAATAAATTACAGGCACGTATTGATAAATGGCCCACTCTTTTAGGTACTCTTCGAATTAATAAAGAAAGAGGCAATTTAGTTATCATTTATATAATGAGAGATTATATTTACCTTTCTTCTAAATACCAATTAGATAAATATGATCTTTTTGTGGATGATATAGAAAAGACAACTCAAATATTTCTTCAGAAAAGCAAATTTTCTTTAAACGATGAAGAAAAGGGCCATATTTTAGATTTTTATGGAGTAACTTCTGAAAAGATAATTTCCAAAATTTTTGACTGCTTCGGTTTTCCATCAATTGTTAGTTTATGTGGCAAGTTAATGAATGATAAATTACCGGAGGGTTTAATAAGTTCGCATGATTTTCTTCTTTTGGAATTAGAAACGTTTTGGGAGGAAAATGAATATATATATGCTACATTACTGCTAGTATTTTGTTTGCATACGATTTCAGAAAAAGACCTTAAACAAAGATCTTCCGAGAGAATCGAGTCAGTAATTTCGACAGTTTGTAAAGTAGTATGCAAAGAATTTGAACTGAAATTTGCTAAGAGTAAACTCAATGAACTTTCGGATACATTCATCAAATACATTGAAGAAAATTATATGAAAATATTTTCATTGCGAGACTTTGTTGAGGCTCCATTTTTACACCATCTTTCTGATAAATGTATGGAAATGGCTTTACAATACTGTTCTTTTGAACTATTGATGGCATTGGTTAGAACAAACCACCAAGAAGAGCGGTGCATTTTAATCGATGACATTCATTACGATGACCTTTTAAAGCGATTTATTAAAGAATTACGGGATAAGAATGCTGATATCGTCAGCCATCCTGCTTTCATTGACTATAAATTTTTATCACGTTTTCTTGGTATGGATGGTATAGCCAATTTGTTGTACGACACACAATTTATGAATTTGGGAGATATTCGTGATATACAGGAAAGTGGCAATTTTCTTCATTACATTACACTTCATGGAGACATGAGATGTCTCGAAGCAGCACTCTCTTATTTTCATGCAAAGCTTCCTCAATTAGTTGAGGAAAAAACAGATATGGGATGGGATATCATCGGCCTCGCCGCTGTTTCGATACATGACCCAATCGAAAAAATTAATCTTTTTAAAGAAAAAAAAATTGGAGACGTTTTGGCCTTACCACATTTAGCGGTTTACTCAGATAAATTTGAAATTGTCGAATATATCAGTAATATCACAAACTTCGACAAAAGCAAGCAGGATATTAAGTCAAGAACAGTTCTTCACAATGCTTGTGATTCAAAGTATGACAATCGTCAAATAATTAACTTTCTGATAGGCAAAGCTTTCGATGTAAATGCTAGAGATGAAAGTGGCAATACGCCACTTCACCTGGCTGTTGCGCGAGGCAAACCACAGACTGTATCAATTTTAATTAGCAAAGGCGCGGAGGTTAATGCGAAGGATAATATGGGCAGATTACCAATTCATAATATTAGCAGCTTATTTGGTGGTAGAAGCGATGTTCTAAATAAGTTAATCCAAGCGGGGTCACTATTACACGAGGCTGATAACCTCGGCCGAATTCCATTACT